AATTCAGCAATTTTAGAATTTTTTTGAAAATTTGATTAAGTTTTATTCGAGTCAGCTTTTTTGTATAGAAAATTCTGAAATTTTTGGAGGATTTAGAATAATAAAATAACATCAATGTAAAATTTCCTAGCTTTAACATTTCTCTTAAATATCCTTATTCTCCTCACGACTCACGAAGAAAAGGACAACGAATAAAAGGACAAACTTCTTCAATATTCTCATAAAGACAGAAAAGAATAAATAAAAAGAAGAGAACCCCTAGAGGGTTAGAGAGTGAGGAATATTCTCTCCCTCATTATTCAAGCATTGGAACGGCACTTTTTTTGGTCTTAGCAAACAAAAAAGCATTTCTTTTCATTTATATTTTTCTATGCTACATAAAAATAAAGAAAATGTGCAAAATAAAATAAATTATTGGCAAAATTTTTTTTATTATTGCTATTGTTTTGTTAATTGAAGGCTGTTTGCTGTGCAAAACGTAAATGTAAGTTTTTATTTACATTTTTTATATTCTATTTTATTTTTTATTTATTTTTTCACATTTTTAAGATAAAATATTAGGAATTTAATAATAATTACATATACTATTAGGAATTTAATTAATTATACCGTATTTGCTCAAATAGACTGCCGGCAGTACTATTTTTCAACCCTCCTCTAAAGGGCAGTACTATTTGGAGAAATACGGTAGCAATATGTCGAAAGTATTTGCTTATAGAAAATTTAATTCTAAATTAAATAGGTATTTATTCATGCCCGTCATTCTCTTGAATTTTGTGATTTCAAACATTTTTATAAAATTTATTATCACTCATTCTTATTTTTTCTCATTATTTTTTTACAAAAACAATCAAAACCTCGTGCTATTCACAAAGTAAGATCACTATCTCCCCTTTTAATTTTTTATACCATCCACTTTTTTGGACCACTTTCAAAAACAAAATAATTAATCATTCCAATTTTTCTGGGTTCAATGACGCCAATAAATTTGTTTGTTGGGCAAAGAATGTTTTTTAAAGTTTTTTTTTATTTTTGATTGATTAATCGTTTTAGTGTTTTATGTACTCAAAAATATTTTATTTCCTGGTTTTTTGGGATTTTATTTACGTATAAATATGTCTGGCTTCCTTAAGTTTTATAACTTAGTATTTAAGATTGAATATATAACTTTAAAGAAAATAAATAATCTTAAACTCCTTTTTATCATGAAGTGAAACTCTTACAATTGTTAAAGAGATATGTAAGTTTTATCAAGTATAGATTTTTATTTGATTGAAAATTAAATTAATAATAAAATACAATTTAAAATAATTTTATTTACCGTATTTTCTCGATTAATTCCCCTCTCTAGAATAATTCCCCATCTCGAATAATTCCCCCTGCCAGGGATGGGTTGAAATAATAATTCCCCACCCCCAGATACCCTACTGCACGTTCAAATGCCGAAACTCGAATAATTCCCCATCCCACGAATGTGTTAAAATATTAATTCCCCAGGGGAATTAATCAAGAATATACGGTAATTATCCAACCAAAAATTCGTGATTTTCTTAAGGATTTTTATAAGATTCAATTAGAATTAATTTGCTATTAAATGAAGTTTAAAGAAAAATTTTAAAATATATAAATAAATCAAAAAGGTTTTAGGGGAGAAATTTTAAAAATTATTTCTTTTTATCACTGCTCACCTCCAAACTTTAATTCAGAAGTTTTCTCATTTTATTGAAAAAAATTTGCAAAATTAAAATTCTTTCTATTTCTGTTTTTTTAATTTTTTTGTCAAAACATTTACATGAATATAATTTTTCTTTTAAATATTTAACCACTTTCTTTTAATTAAATGAAAATAAACAAAACTTTAAACAAGTTTTGTTTGAAACATTTTCTTTAATTATAATAAAATAATTGTATTTATTTATTTAAACTTGACCATATTTTTTTAAAAATTACTCATCGGAATTTTTAATTTTAAAAAAATCAGAATTTAAATTTAAAAATAAAATTTTACTGTTAAAGTTTATATTTTATTCTGAATACAATAATATTCTGGTTTTATTCTGATTTCAATTTTTAAATTTAGAAAAAAAAGAAACTAGAATTACCTAATACGATTTTATATTTAAATTTTATTCTGATTTTTTAGTAGAATTCTATTAGGTGCCCAGTAAATTCTCTGATAAGTAACCTGGTAAGTAATCTCTCACTAGAGGGGTAATTATTTGGAGATTGATAGAGCATTTACTGTAATTAAGAATTTTCTTTTTAAATTTTGTAAACAAAAATTAGTAAAAAGAACAATTAAATTTAAAATCAAATATTAAAATTAAATTTTATTTTTATTAAAACCAGAACAAAATATAAATTTAAGCAGAAAAATATACAAAATCAAAAGACTAAAAAATCAAAAAAAATATTTTTAGATTAATCAGATTTTTTATTTTATTTTTAAAAAAATATTTAATCATAAAATCTTTAAATTAAAAAAAATTTTTAATCTTCTTTAAATTTTTTACTTTCTAAAATCATTTTGTTGTTAATCTTATTAAAATGTTTAGTAAGTAAAATAAACTTTGTTCCAAACAAACAAACAAAACTGTTAATACGATTTGGAAAGTCACAGATTTATAAATATTTTTGGAAAAATTAAATCTGTACTTAAATAAATATTTATTTTCTAGTTTATTTAAAAATATTTTTATTTTATTTTCACTAAATATTTTTATCATTTTTATTTTATTTTTAAATTTTTAATTATACTCTAGTTCCATTCTTCGATAATTATTGTGAATTAATGTTTTGATCGTTTATTCTGTTGTTTTATCTGTTAAATTCTGTTTATACTTTAATTTATTTTGTCATGCTTTTCCGACTTTTCTGGCTTTATTTTACGTCACAAATATTAATCCATCCAAGTAGGATTATCTAAAAATAGGTAATTATTTATTTAGAAACGTCATTTTATTTTAATATGCTAGACTTTTGTTTTATTTTTTCTTTTAATTTTTAAATGAACAAATGTTTCATTTAATAATATTTTTAAAATATTTTGAAAAATCCTAAATTATTGAAATTTTAAAAAATTTTTTAAATTAAAATATTATTTAAAATTCTAATTATCTTTATTCCTTTTAATTTCTATTCAAAAAATTTATATTTTATTTAAATTTTAAAATTTCTATTCAAAAAAATTTTTTCTAAATAATATTTCACAATTATTTTATTATTTTCTAATGAATACAAAAAAAGAAAATTATTAGAAGATTTTTTAGAATCCATCAACTAAATTTTAATTATTTATCTTTTCGTGATTATAAGTTTTTAAGAATTAAAAAAGACTTCCTGCTAGTGAAATATATAATATAATACTAATTAAACACTCACTATATTTACATACATTTATGCTATCCCGGAATGGGAAATCTGATCTTAAAAATTTTTTTCGACTTGTGTTCTTTTTAAAAAATGTTATTGTCTGTTGGAGTTGGTGGTCTTTAATTCCTCCAAAAATTTAATTTTAATAACCTTAGAAAAAATAATTTTTTATAGAAAGTCAACTTTTATTAAAAAAATATGGCAGCTGCTATTCAAGCACTTTTTCTGGCCTTTACCTGTTTATTAGCAACCAAACATTGCCAGATAAAATTTTGGTCCTCAATTCTTTCAAAAATCGATTATAAAGTCCAAACACCAATTTTTCTAATAAATATTAAATTACAAAAAATAAATAATTATTTATTTACATTTATGGCCTCATAATAATTATTTTTTATTAAATACTCTCCTCATTTTTTAGATAATCAATTTTAAATATAAATTTGCTAAAATTTTTTATTAAAATATTATTTTAAATAAAAATTTAAATAAAAATATTGAAGGTTAATTATGTATTTATTTATATTTTTATATAAAAATGATAATTTATTAGTATATACTAGGAAGCTGTAATTGTTATTTGCAGTAAAACATAGATAAAACATTGCCTTGAATTGATAATTTTTTATGATACTAAAGATTTCGTTCACAAGATTTCGTTCACAAATCTCTGTTACCTAAAATTGAGACTAATCCCAATCTCAAATTTCTATCAATCCTCAATTTCAATCATTTTTTTATCAAAATTTAATTTTCGATTAAAAATAAATTTATAATTTTATTTTTATTTTCACAAACTACATATATACAAAATCTAAAATCAAAAAATTATTTGTATACACACAAACACTTCAAAGAAAGATTAAATAATTTAATTAAGTCTATTTTTAAATCACCTTCTCTAAACTTTACTTAATTATTTTTTGTTTGCTTATGCTCACTTGCATCTATTACAATTGCTTATCGAGGGATTTTATTCTCTTTATTTTTTAATAAATTCTAAACTTTAATTGTAAATCCTCTGGAAATTTTTAATTAAAAATTTTTATCTTTTGAGAAATATCTTATTGTTATACTTAAAATATATTCTTTTCCAAATTAATCCATCCTCCTACACAACACGAGGAAATCTCACACAACCCCCTCATAGAATTGTATTCAATTTTAAATTAATCTCTAATTATTACCAGGTCTTTTTTGTCTAAATATGTATGTATATTAATTGAATAATAATAATAATTAAATAAAAAATTATTTTAATGGAAAAATCTAAAAAAGTAATTTTGCGAGAGCCGGAAGCCTTTTATTACTTTAGTTATATGTTTACTTTTATTTATTAGCAAAATTAGCAAGATAAGATCTTGTTCATAGATCTTTGTTACTTAGAATCGAGAAACAAATTTAAGTATTTTGAATTCATTTTTCTTTTTTCACCACACTTTAACCCTCATTTGAATATGAGACGAAATGGGTCTGTGCCAGGGCCTAGGTTTAATTTGACCATAGTTCAGGCATTTTCTGGTTTACCAACTTGTTGACTTTTATTTAGGAAAACACTATAATTAATTACTACTTTCTTCTCTCAGATTGCCCAACATTTTAAAAAGCCATCACTTTAACTAAATAAATATAGTAATGTCTACTCAAATAATTGAGCATCAGGAAGAATTACTAATTAAAGATAAAACTGAAGATATTATTTCTTGCAAAAATCAAACTCCGCTGAATGGAAAGAATGGTGAAATTAATGGTTAGAATGGGTATCGGTTAAATATTTATATTTTTGTTAAGCAGTGAATACTACACAAATTGTTGTGCCAGATTCAAGTACCGATAAAGCATCCGAAAAAACCAACGAAAAAATAATTGAAAAGATATCTAATAATCAGCAAAAGCAAGAAATTCAGAAACCTTTGACTGTTCAAGATTGGGATTACGATGATTTAGGTATGTCTGATTAGTTTACCTATAAGTAATATCTGTTACATTTTGATATAATATCGGCTATAGTTAATATTTCTGGATAATATTTCTTAAATGAGTTAATATCTTTGGTTAACTTTACTATGAATAACTTTACCTTGGAAAAATGGATTCAAGGCCAAAGAATCTAGGCAAGGCTAAAGAATCTAGTAAAAACTATCTTGACAAAAGACCAATAGATTGTTCTATAATAGTTAACATACTTCGGCATTAGATTTTTGGTCACACTTCAAAGCTCTATCTCCCATTTTCAGGTCCTTGTGGCCCTAGTAACTGGCTGAAAATAATTGGTGATGATAAATTGGGTAATTATTAAATTGGATTTTATCATGTGATTTTCTATAAATTATTTCATTTAGGTAAACTACAATCCCCTATAAACCTTCAACTCTCACAAATGAGAATTTTATCCCTTACACACCCTCTATGTCTCGTTAATTATAGAAAGCCTTTGCCTGGCCAATTTGTCAACACTGGATGTTCAAGTAATTTATTTTTTTATTATGTATGTTATGGGTAGGTCTCATGTTATTACATCCTTATACTAAGGTTTTCAACACATTTAGCCCTAAAATGTTAGAAATTATTTGGACTATTACAACCAAATTAATTTTAAAAATTTTCTAGTTCAATTTCTACCTGATCCACAAGTAGAACCCCCTGAAATCTATGGTGGAAACTTAGATCAGAATTATCGTTTTGTTCAATACCACTTTCATTGGGCTCAAAATGATAATGAAGGTAGGGAATATCTTTATTATATTGAAGGATCATGACTCTAAAACAAATTTCTGATTAAATATTCACAATATATTAGCAATGGAGGATAAGTTGTTTATGGCAAGCTTTCCTTTGTTGGCGCTTTTCTCTTTTTTTTGTATTCAGCTTATTCAGTTATAAATCAGACAAAATTCAAAAAACACTCAAATAAGAATTATCTGAACAATTATTTGATAAATTTATTTCAAAGGTTCTGAGCATTGTATAGGCGGTCTTCGTTACCCAGCAGAATTACATTTAGTACATAAAGGAGTAGAAGATGAAAATAAATTGGCTGTATTAGGAATTTTTATTAAATTAGACGATGCTAAGAATGATGATGGGAAGGTTAAAAAAAGATATATATTTGAAAAACAAGAAATGGAAGCTCTTAAAGAGGTATATTACATACCGTATTTGCTCTATTAATCCCCCAGTCTTTATTAATCCCCCAGGCTCTATTAATCCCCCACCCTGGAGATGGGTTGAAACAATAATCCCCCTGGGGGATTACTAGAGCAAATACGGTAATTTAATTAATAATTAGAGTAGCTCACCTGAATTTCTCATTACAGAGAATTAAATTGTTTATAAAATATTTCAAGATCCGAATTTTTTATCAGAACCAGAAATACATTATTTACCTATATCTAGAGAATGGTCGTAAATTGGAAGTTTCTGAAATAGGAAACTACTTGACTTTGGAGGTGAGAAAATTTTAAGGAGTTGCCAAGTACTGAGGGAAATTTAAAGATATATTTAATTTCCCTTTATTATCACTTGCAAATTAGTCCATTTTTTTATTCTATCAATTTAGTTAACAGAATTTGGAAACAAAAAAGCATTAGATTCAACTCATTGTTTAGAATTAAAATTACCTCCTAATTGTTGTATTGAGCGTGAAAGCTTTAAAGGTGCTGAGATTTTCACTTCTTCCTTTGTTCGCTATCAAGGGTAAGTAAAAACTTAATTATTTTTATTTTTTGGAAATTTAAGAAAAATATAAAATGTTAGGGAGTTGATTAGTTGACCGATATTTCTTAAACAATAGTTATCGAGAATATTAGTTAATAATTATCGAAATTATCGGAGGACATAAATATAATATTTAAATAAAAAATCAGGCATAAGAATATGTAAGATTAGTTGAGGAAATAAGAATAATAAAATAAAAAATAATCCGCAAAAAGCCTTTTTTACAGTTGACAATAAATTTCAAAAAAAAAATACTTTTTTAAAATAAATTTCTAATTTTTTTCTAATACATTCCAGTTCATTAACAACCCCTCCATGTACAGAAAACGTTCACTGGACAATTTTCACTGACCCCGTTTTTATTACAAAAGAACAAGTTTTTTTCTTTAATTAGTATTTTTATAAATTAAAATTTACAGCTTTCTTATCTTCGCAAAATTAAAGATTGTAAAGGAAATGTTATTTCAAAAAATTATAGACCTGGTAACTTATTTAAATTGAAAAATATTACGTTAACAATTTTAATTTTTCAGTTCAAAATTTGGTTGACCACCAAGTTTGTCTACATCTTGCTTCTTAGCCTTACATATAGATGCTACTATAAATATTTAATGATATAAATAAATTAAATTGTATTTAATTAAAAAACCAAATAATTAGCTAGATAAACACTTATAATGATTAATAAAATTTAAAATAATTTCAATGATTTTCAAAAATTATATGCATATTTTCAAGGTTCAAAAAGATTGAATGGATTTACTTCTATAGTTTTACCCAGGTCAGGCCATGGATACGGATAATATCCGGATATCCTCAGATATATCAGGATACGGACGGATATGGACATATCGATCCTTTTCCAATAATGTCACAGATCCTCAATCTCACACTTCTACTATTCCATTATTTCTAATGAACAATAAACTAGTGTTCGGCAAATGACCTTTTCCGGTATTCGGTATCGGTATACCGAAAAAATACCGATACCGAAAAATACCGTTTTTTACAAAAATTGACCGGTACGGTATCGGTATCGGTATACCGGAAAAATACCGATACCGGAAAATACCGTCTCAACATTTTCGGTATACCGGCCGGTATTCGGTATTTTTTAAAAAATTTTATAAAATTTTTTAAATTTTATTTTTAAAATCTTAACAATAAATCTTAACAATCTCAAGGACTTGAGCTTCTTCTAATCGATCATAGGCAAGATTTGAATCAGCAAAATGTCCAACAATTGCTCGACATTTAGCCAATTGAAAAATACAATGCCCCCTCCATTAGAATACCCTGCTTTAATAGTATGTCCCCTGTAGGATGATTGAAAATTACTATGCCCCCACCATTAGAATATCCTCCTTTAATAGAATGCCCCAACAGGATAATTGAAAAATACAATGCCCCCTCTAATAGAATGTCCCTATATATTCTTTTTCAGCGCCGCAGGCGAAAATTTTGAGAATTTTGGAAGACCAGAAGACAGATTTCTTCCTTTTTCAGCGCCGCAGGCGAAAATTTTGAGAATTTCACAAATACCGAAATACCGGAAAATACCGCGGTATTTTTTCGAGGACCGGTACGGTATCGGTATCGGTATACCGAAAAAATACCGATACCGAAAAATACCGTTTTTTTCAAAATTTGACCGGTACGGTATCGGTATCGGTATACCGGAAAAAAATACCGCGGTATACCGGGAAAAATACCGCGGTATACCGTACCGTGCCGAACACTACAATAAACTCATTTAACTTATATATTTCAAATATTAAATAAATATTTTAATTTATTCTGTTTCTACTTAGGCAATCATAGGTCCTCTGCGCCTCCTCACCCAATCCCAAACCCCAAACCGGCGCTCTGAAGGTGCGCCAGACCTAAAGGTCTGAGCCGCATAATTGTATAGATATGGATCTACTTTCTTTTTATTTTTACTTATATTTTAAAACTTATATTTTAAATGTATTTTACATTTGAAGTTACTGAGGAAATTTAAAGTTTCTGTTCTTGAGTCTTAGAAAGTTTTCGGTCTTAAGGCATCGAATTACGTTAATGTGGACACAGCCGAATTAAGCAAATGTTTTGATTTCGGAGTAGAACTTTTTTGAAACAAAAGTACTTCGAAATCGAAAACCTCTGAAATATCAAAATAGAAACCGATTAAAGGAAAAATGATTTAACTATTTCATAATGAATAATTTTAAAATTGACAAGAAGGCTTGAAATCGGGTAAGAAAGATGGAAGTTTGAAATTACAATAAGTTAAAAATATTTAAATCAAAACAAAAATTAAGCTCATGGGACGCTTAAAATATCATGGGACGCATGATCCAAACTAGTCTAAAATTACATAATTTTGTAAACAAAAAGTGCAATAATATTTAGGCAAAAATAAACAAAATAAAGGGCATTATTTCCCAATATAGACAAATTAATTTGGTAATAGAATAAAAATCTAATCAAAGGACAGTCTATCAAATGAGAAAAAATAATTTCTTAATGTCAAGAAAAGTGCAAGTATAAAAGAAAATTAATTTATTATTGGGCTTAAAAGTAAATATTTATTTTAAAAATTTAAAAAAAACTTTAATTTTCAATGAAAAATAAAATTATTTATTTTCTCCTTTTGTTTGCTCTTTCTTCTTCAAATTTACAAATTAATGAACGATTTTTGATTACCTCTACAGAGGATAATAAAAATGAGGATGGATCCTCTAAAGTAATTTTATTAAGAATGGAATTTACTACTAAAAGAGTTGAAGATGGGAAAATAAAAAGTAAAATTGAAATTTTGTGTGAAATTGATGAAAAAATTGAGAAAGATAAAATTTCCTTATTTATGAAAGCTCCCATTCAAAATTTACTTATAGGAGAATTTTCAGTTAATAAAAGTGTAGTTGGTGGACATAAAGGAAAAAAATTAATGTTATTTGAATTATTATTCAATTTTTTAGAAGTAGTTGACATTAGGATCGTTCTAAATGAAAATAATGGAACAGAAATTGTGGAGAGGGTAAAAGAAGACTAGGACATGGATAATTATATGGATACAGATATTGTATATATTCGTCTGTATCCGTCTGTATCCGCCGTAAATATCCGGAGACGGATACCAAAACCAGTATCCGTGTCCTAGTTTGGATAAAAGTACTTAAAAATTATTTAAATTTTATTCCATTTTTAGATTCTAATAACTGTAGAGCCTTTGATTTCTGCACAAATTGGGTTTGAAGTAAATAAATTGAAAGTTGCTAATTTAAGATACGATGAGTATAATAATCAAATTATGGATATAGAAATACAAGGGATATATACATCTTTATTGACAAATCCATCAAACCCTAATAAATTAACTAGATTTATATGGTTTTTGAATCCTGTTGGGCCTAGAAAAATTTTAAAAAGAGAAAGACATGGAAAAGTTAATTTTATCGACTCGACCTCATTAAAGGCTAATAAACAAGAAGCTAAAATGGAGTATTCTCACATTGAAATTTGTTTCAAATTTGAAAATCCAGGGAATTATTTTATAATTGTCGCGAAACAAAATTGTGAGTGTTGGCTTCAATTCGACGTTAAAATTAAAAAAGCAAATGAGGAAAGATGTGTGTCCAAAATGTTTAAGAAAATGAATGATTTAGAGAAGGATTTATTGAAAAGTTTTAGACAATTCATTTCAATGTGGATATTAAAAACAGAATTAGATAATTATGAGGATGGCCAGATAACGGTAAATAATGATGAATCGTTAGAAAATAATCCTGAACTGGCATTAGTTGCCTCAATAACTCCATTGCTGACTCTTGGAAGTTATGAATTTTATTTGGATAAGGAAGGAGTAACTAAAGAAAGAGTGAAAATTGTTGATTCTAAGAAAAAATGACAATTTTAAGGCTATAAAGAAGAAGAAAATCCAAATATAAAACTTTCTAATAAATCTTTAATTAAATTTAAAAGAATTTAATTTGTTAAAACTAATTTAAACTTTGATGGGATCTATTTGATCTTGTTTCTATGTACCCTGTTAGTGACTTTACATTTTATTGTCCATTTTTCCTTTTCACAAGTAAATATTTCCTCTTGAAGTTCTAATTTGTGTTAAAATTAATTTCCCCAAACTGTTGAGGGTGAGTGTACATTGTTACGGGATTTTTGAAAAAAAAATGTGCAATAAGGATTTGCAATAAAGATTGAGAAATGTGCACCAAGGGTTTTAATAAGAATTAATTTAGTATACATAGAATATTTGTGGCGTTTTTTTAAATGATAGAATAGATCTTGATTGAATCTCTTTTGAAGCTAAATCTTATTATTTTGTCTTTTCAACATTATCAAAAATTTCAAATTCAAAAATTTCAAAATTTCACCGTGTGCATTTAACCAAAATATATGGGCAATTATAATCAACATTTCATTAACATTTCATTAACATGAAACATAAATTGAACGACTTGGAGAAAAATCTGAAATTTAAGTTTATACCGTTTTTGGATAATAGAAACCCTTTTTTAAAAAAAAACCTTACGGTTCAGAATGGACTCACGGATTTGCAGATACAAATCCGTGACCTTCAATATAGGTCCGTGCCCTACTATTAATTAATAATCAACTACTAATAATCCAATTGCATTCAGCAATCACTATGTAATTTCAATAAGGTTTATAAATATTATGTTAAAATATTTCTTAGAAATTTTAGTTCAGCGATTTTTATGAGGAATTTTGAATAAATCAAGAATGAGAGTTTAGTGAGTCCCAATAAGATGTGTTTAAATTAAATTTAATTTTACATATTATTAACTTTATCATCAAATATAAAATCACTATTATTTTTACATTCATTATGCCATTCTTTCAATTCAATAATATATTCTCTCTTAATTTCTTTTAATTTTTCCAAACTACAAATATTTCCGCAATCGGGAATTTCAATTTCCCGAAAAACATTTCCATCAGTCTCGTTTTTATGGAAAAGTCGAATAAAAAATGTTGAAGTGTTTTCTTCTAAATCTTCAGATTTATTTTCTTGTTTATGTAATTCAATTAGTAAAGCAGTTGAAAATTTCGGAAATACCTGAATTTTTTAAATCTTCATTATGTTGATACATTTCTTATATGTTGGGCTTGAGATCTACTGTAAAATTTTATATCGAGTTTGCTCTCTAGGATAGTTAACTCAACTCAATGATTTTCAAAAATTATATGCATATTTTTAAGGTTCAAAAAGATTGAATGGATAAAAGATTGAATACTTCAATAGTTTTACCCAGACCAGGCCATGGATACGGATAATATCCGGATATTCTCGGATATATCAGGATAGGACGAATATGGACATATAATAAATATTGAAGAAATTTTAAATTTTTCAAAGCTCGGGTTAGGGTATAGACTTCGAAATCGAAAACCTCTGAAATATTGCAATAGAAATTGATTAAAGAAAAAATGATTTAACTATTTCATAATGAATAATTTTAAAATTGTTGTCGGGAACGCCCGAGAACTGAGACTCGGGCGTTCCCGGGTGAAATAAATTCCTTTTATTTTTTATTTATTAATTTTTGGTCGGTGTGTGCGAACAAATGAATCACACACAAACAAATCAATTCTCACTCCCTTTTTATTTTTTGTTTAAAAAATTCTTTCTTTTTTATAAAAAATAATTTTCTTTTATTTTTAGCCTTCTTTGGCCTACAATCTTTTCTCCTCATTTTGTAACAACAACTTTCTCACAATATTTTCGTAATGTAAATAAGTTATTTTTTAAAGAAGATATAATCATTTACCCCCACTACTTAAAGAAGCACACTCCTCCCAACAACACTTCATTCTCTACTCATCCCACTTGAGACAGCAACACACCACAAAAGGCGCTCCTTGCCGTGACCGTTCCCTAGCCTTCTTTGGCCGAGAGATCGGTAACGGCAAGGAGCGCCCCGACAACTTGGTTGGCTATTCCCTTTTGACGGGTGATCCTGACCCGACACAAGAACATTATCATTTTACCACTTTCGCGATTTAAATTAATTTTTCACATTTCAATTTCATTCGCGTTTTTCATTGTATTTTTGGTTTAAATACCCAAGTTTGAGGTGCTATAATAAAATATTATATTAAACTTCTTGTCTTCGTTGAATTCTGTTAATTGTCAGCAAACATTAAATTACCGTTTCTGATATTGTCAAGAAGGCTTGAAATCGGGTAAGAAAGATGGAAGTTTGAAATTACATATTAAAAATATTTAAATCACTTATATAAAATTAAGCTCATTGGACTTTTAAAAGTTCATGGGACGCATGATCCAAACCAAAATTACATAATTTTGTAAACAAAAAGTGCAATAATATTTGGTAATATTCAAATCATATGCTTTTCAAATATTTGATTATTTAATGTATTTGCATGAGATTGATGAGGAAATTCTAATTTTTGTTTTTGCGCCTTAGAAAATCTTCGGTTCTGAGCAGTGCTTCGAAGCTCGTACCAAAATTCGTACTCGTACCTCGTACTCGTACTCGTACCTGGTACGAAGTACGAGTACGAGTACGAGCAAAAAAATTGGGCAGGTACGAAGTACGAGTACGAGTACGAGGCCAAAAAAAAGTGAAAAGTACGAGTACGAGGCCTAAGTACGAGCTCGTACTTCTCGTACTTGGTGTTAATAGGAAAATTGAAAGAAATATATCTTGTTCCTTTCTTTTTAATTGTATGAGCGAGTGGCCGAGTGGTGAAGATGCTTGGCTGCACCAAAGTCTATAATGATTTAATATTGGGTTCGTTTCCTATTCACTGGACAAGAATTTTTAATATTTTTCTCTTCATAAATAACTTATTTATAATTTTAATTTTTTTTTAAAATTATTGTATTTTTACTTGGATTAATTATGAGATTTTGACCATCTAAAATTCTTAATATTTTTTTCTTTGAACACTAAAAGTGAATTTTTTCACTACGGCCTTCGGAAATTGTCAAAATTTTCGCCTGCGGCGCTGAAAAAATAAGAAAGGTGGTTATTGGCTTCCAAATTCTAAAATTTTCGCCTTCGGCGGTGAAAAATAAAAGAAATCTGGCTTCATGGCCTTCAAAATTTTTTAAAATTTTCGCCTACGGCGCAAAAATAGAAGAAATCTGACTTAAGGACATCCGTAATTCTCAAAATTTTTGAAAAAAATGATTTGAGATTAAGAGGGATATAAGGAGATCAAAATGTGAAAAGTTCAGTGGAAAAGATAAAAAGTTCCATGTAAGAAGATGAAAACCGGATGAAAAAATGTAGGATCTCGGGTAGCACGACCCATCTTGGAGGAAATATTTCTCCTTGCACTCTAAAATGCTCAAAAATTTCGCCTGCGGCGCAGCAAATAGATGAAATTTGAGGATTTATAACTTCAAGGCCTTCCAAGATTCAAAAATCATCACATACAACGCTTAAAATTTAAAAATAGATGCCCTGGGCTCAAAAAAACCATTAAAATTTTCGATTTTTTGCTTTTACCTCAAGTACGAGTAAGTACGAGGTACGAGTACGAGGTACGAGGCCAAAAATAGGGGTGGTACGAGGTACGAGTACGAGTACGAGCAAAAAAATAAGGGTGGTACGAGGTACGAGTACGAGTACGAGGCCAAAAAAAGAGGTGGTACGAAGTACGAGTACGAGTACGAGCAAATTTGAAATTTCGAAGCACTGGTTCTGAGACTTTCAAATCACCTAAGTGCCCCCCTAGAACATTATTAAGCCGAAATATGAATTAGAGTGACATGAGATAAGTGAGATGTATTACTAAATGTATCAACAAAAAAGGCAAAATCTCAGATAAAGGGCATTATTTCCCAATATAGACGAATTAATTTGGTAATAGAATAAAAATCTAATCAAATGACAGTCTATCAAATGAGAAAAAATAATTTCTTAATGTCAAGAAAAGGGCATGTATAAAAGAAAATTAATTTATTATAGGGCTTAAAAGTAAATATTTATTTTGAAAATTTAAAAAAAAACTTTAATTTTCAATGAACAACAAAATTATTTATTTTCTCCTTTTGTTTACTCTTTCCTCTTCAAATTTACAAATTAATGAACGATTTTTGGTTAAATCTACAGAAGATAATAAAAATGAGGATGGATCCTCTAAAGTAATTTTATTGAGAATGGAATTTACTAAAATAGTTGAAGATGGGAAAATAAAAAGTAAAATTGAAATTTTGTGTGAAATTGATGAAAATATCGAAAAAGATAAAATTAACTTACATATGAAAGCTCCCGGACATAATTTACTTATAGGAGAATTTTCACTTGATAAAAGTGTAATTGATGGAAATAAAGGAAAAAAATTAATGTTATTTGAATTATTATTTAATTTTTTAGAAGTAGTTACTATTAGCATTTTTCTAAATGAAAATAATGGAACAGAAACAAAAAGGAAGGTAAAATTACTTAACAATTATTTGGAATTTTCCCATAGAAACTTTTTACGTAATAGATATCGGGGAGATCAGAGAATTTGAAGGTTTTAAGTGATTTAAAAGAAGGGGATATCTGTGGTGATATCTCGGTTATAAGAGGATTTTGAGTGATATCAGAGGATTTAAGGAAATTTGGGATAAGCTGGATTAGGAGGATTAATTGGGATCTGTAAATCAATAAAAGTTGTAGGGATCAATGTTGGAACAACATTCCCAATCATTGGAATACATAATTATAAAATTAAAAAAGTTTAGTGTTGATGATATGTATGATTTTCGATATTTTGAGTAATTCGTCATTTTTTCCCAAAAATAAACAATTCTAGAAATTAACGCATAGTAACAATTAGAGATCGGCCGGAAGGCAAAATCAAATATTTGATCAAATAATTTGAAAATTATTTGATATTTGAAAAAATTT